ATGCCATGTTAAGGATTTACAATGTTAAACGTCCCAGGACTTAATGAAGAGGGAAAGAGGAAATTATTTTAAATCAAATGACAAGCATTTAGAGTACAAAACCTCAAAATGAAAATGCCCTATGGGGACGGGGGGTTATCGAGTGTAAATGTCTAGCTATTATGTTGCTTTGCACACCTGAAATTTTAAATAAAGAACAGAAAATGCCCTAAAACAGACTCTACTATTCATAGAAATTTAATATATAATAAAGGTAGTATCACAAATCAGCAAAGAAAAAAATGATTGGCCACAAATGGTATTGTAGATAATTTAGTTAACTGCTTTGGGGGGGGGGGGAAACCTGCATTGTCCTTGGCAAGAAAAAGGATTTTCAAATCACACACACAAAACCACCACCTCTGGACCTCAAAAATAACAATACACACAAATAAAGCTAAGGGCAAATTATTTGCAATAAAGGAACGACGAGCTAAAGTTTAATATTCTTTATTATTTTAAGATTTTTTTTATTGGGGAATTGGGGGAGGAACAGCCAAGTTGTTGTCCTTCAATCTTAGTTGTGGAGTGTGCAGCTAGCTCAGCTCCAAGTCCAGTCGCCATCTGGCCGCTCATCAGCAGCTCAGGGCAGCTCAGCTCAAGGTGCAGTGTTCAATCTTAGTTGCAGGGTGGGCGTAACCCATCATCCCATGCGGGAGTCAAACTGGCAACCTTGTTGTTAGGAGCATGTTCTCTCACCAGCTGAACCATCCTGCCCCCTGTTGGCAGCTCAGCAGCAGCTCACTGGCCCATTTGGCAATTGAACCGATGATCCTGTTGCTCAGAGCTCGTGCTCTTAACCAACTGAGCCACTCGGCAGGCCCTAATATTCTTAATATATTTTTAAAAACTCTTATAAATTAGTAAGAAAAAAAGTTTTCTAAAAAAATTAAACCACAGGCCAGCCGAGTGGCGTGTTGGTTAAGAGCTGGCTTGGGACACTAGCTCTGAGCAGCAGGGCCCCGGTTCAGATCCCACACGGGCCAGTGACACTGCCCTCTACAGCTAAGATGGTGAACAGCTCGACCTCAGGCTGGGCTGTGGTGAGTCCACTGGTGACAGCATAGGCGGCAGTGTGCTGCCATAAGCTACCGTGTGTGGCCGGCAGCCACTGTGAGCAGCCAGCAGCCAATGTGAGCTGCCAAGAGCCGCAGTGAGCTGCCGTCCAAAGGCCGACGACTGATCTGCCTCACCCAGGAAGAGCGCAATCATAATACCAACATGGGCCAGTCAAGCAACGTCCTCCACAACTAGACTAAAGAACAAAAGGACAGCAACTTGTCTGTTCCCCTTCCCCGATTTCCCAACGCTCTTCCCCTCCCCCAATTCCCCAATAAAATCTTTAAAAAAAAAAAAAAAGATGGTGAACAACAGCTCGACCTGGAGCTGGGCTGCCATGAGTCACCGGTGAGGGTGTAGGCTGCAGCCCTTGCTGCAGTGGGCCGCCATAAGCTACCATGAGCAACCAGCAGGCGGTATGAGCGGCCGTCCAGGGGCCCGCGAGCGACTGCCTCACCGGAGAAGAGCGCAATGATAATACCAACATGGGCCAGTGAAGTGACGTCCTCCACAAATAGACTGAAGAACAAAAGGACAGCAACTTGTCTGTTCCACTTCCCGATTCCCCAATGCTGTTCCCCTCCCCCAATTCCCCTATAAAATCTTTAAAAAAAAAAAAAATCAAAACACTAAAAGACAAGAGAATCAGGAAAACCACATTAACTTCATTAATGTCAAAGAAATGCACATTAAAACAATGATATATCACTTTTATTCTGTTAAAATGGCATAAATAAAAAACATAATATCCACCGCAGGTAAAGTGTTGACATTTTCATACATTGCTTGAAAGTATTTTTATACATTACAAATTGGCAATACATATAATATTCCTTTAAAAAGTTAGATCCTTTAATCCAATAATTCTGTCAGATGTCGCTCTCCTAAAGAAATAACCAGGGATGTGAACAAAGATTTACAAAAATCCTCATCAACAGCATTTATAATAAGAAAAAGTTGGGGCCGGCTGAGTGGCTTCGTTGGTTAAGAGCGTGAGCTCTGAGCAACGGGGTCTCCGGTTCGATTCCCACATGGGCCAGTGAGCTGTGCCTGGGCTGAGCTGCCACTGAGCTGCCAACAGGTGGCAGGACGGCTCAGCTGGAGAGAGCACGTGCTCCTAACAACTAGGTTGCCGGTTTGACTCCGGCATGAGATGGTGGGCAATGCCCACCCGCAACTAAGATTGAACATAGCACCTTGAGCTGAGCAGCTGCGAGCTGCTGATGGGCGGCCAGATAACTACTGGACTTGGAGCTGAGCTAGCTGTGCCCTCCAGGACTAAGTCTGAAGGACAACAACTTGTCTGTTCCCCTTCCCCAATTCTCCAACACTGTTCCCCTTCCCCAATTCCCCAACACTGTTCCCCTTCCTCAATTCCCCAATAAAATCTATAGAAAACAAACAAAACATTATTTTTAAAAAAAATAAGAAAAAGTTAGAAATGACAAGATCCAACCATAGAGGTTTAGTAAAATGAGTCATGGCTCATCCATACAATGGAATGTTAAGAATTCATTAAATGTATTTAAGGCTATTTTAATGACATGGAAAAAATAACATAATTTTTGCCTTACAGCCGATTCCAAGACCACCCCCTCTGCATTAGCCTCTGACCCTATTAGTCTTGAGAGAGTGTCTCGGTATGACCGAGGCCCGGTGGAATGATATCGGTAAAGCTCTCTCTCGGGGGTGTCTCGGTATGACTGGGACCTAATGGAATGATATCAGTTATCTCCCCTGGGAGGACACAGTAACAAGGTGTCCTGGGGTTGTGTGGTGATGTATGAAGGCATAGCATTTGTTGGAATACAATGGGGTGGGTTAATGGAAAACAGCCTTAAGGCACACAATAACACACGGTTACTAATTTACAGCAGTTACTTCCTTGAAAATTCTCAATAAAAGCCAGGCGCTGACCCGATTCGGGGCTCAGTCTTCTCTGGCTGAGTCCCTTGGTCTCGCTCTTATCTTACTTTTGTCTCTTTTTCTTATTCAATCTGCGTCGCCCGTCTCGAGACCCATTTGCCCTTGCCACGCAGGACGTGACACATAATTTTAAGCGAAACATCAGGAAGCTGTACCTAATGCTTCTCCCAGTGACATAACGTTGTTAAAGGATATAAAATTCAAACTACCTCCCCTGCTCCCAGAATGCCCTTCTCTGCTCCAAGACAGCCTCCATCATGGCCTCTGCAGCCTTTCTCTGCTGCTCTAAATCTGCTCCCTATTCCCGCCTTGCTTTTGTTGGTAGGCCTGCCCACTGTAAATACTACTCTGCAGATCAGTCCCAGAGATAGAAGACACTTTTATAATGTCTTAATCTTCTTAAAGAACAACTTTTTCCCCAATACCCAACATCCTTCTGTGCTACTTCAACCAGCTCTCAGGATATTCAGCTCTGTTCCCCTAACCCCTCCCTCCATCCCACAAAGCTTCCCTTCCTTCCTGCTTATGATGGGCACTCAATGAATGAATGAGTAAATGATCTAACAGGATAAATCCAATTCTGATAAAGAAAGTCAAATTACTGAGTTTAACTCCAGATGACCTTACAGGATGCTTTTATTTTCTTCTTCTTATTCTACTCCCACCATATTTCCTACAACAAATGCACACCAAGCACACTTTTGTAATAAGGAAAGAATAAACTAACAGAACTATACTTTCTCCTCCATTTTAACTGGCCCCTAGGTCTAGAGATATTATTCATCCTTAACCTGGGGGTAATAAAACAAACTCAGTTGTATGCTTTCCACATATTTTGGGAAACATTTAGGATCTACAGTAGAACCAGCCCCAACAAGTAGCTTCTGGCCACTAAACAGCAGTTCCCTTTTCTGGAATTAAAGAAAAATGCATTAACAAAATTAAAGTATGTGTCAAAATCAGACAGCCACCTTGGCTGCAATCTCTAAGCAAATTGCAGGTGAATTCCTAACACCAATCTACCCAGAAGGCTTACAATAATTTCACAAAGTTGGCTGTGTTCTTCCTCTTTTCACAACTGGCCAGCTTGATGCATCGCATGTTTGGCTACAAACATCTCTGCTGACTCTCCCTGCAACATTTTCAGGGCTCGCCAATAGATCTGTCCGCAGTTCTCAGGTCTACCGTGGGGGTGGTTCAATTCTTCTTTGATGTAATCCATCCAAAGATCTTTAAAGGGAACCAGAAAATTACTGTGGACATACATTTAGATAACTGACAAGACTTTATTAGGTAAACTTAATTATTTAATGTCGATTCAACACAAGATTTCTAAGAAACTTATTTCCATAGAAACCTGTGTGAAACAATACCTCTCTCGGCTTCCTTACACTGAGGTGTGTCAAAATGAGTTCATCTTAATCTTGTTACCATGTTTAACAAAATTTGCTTGGGTTAGTAAAAATGCCATTTTCATTCATTTCACCAGAAGGTCTCTTTTTTAAATGTGAGTTTAACAACTATACATGTCAGTTTTTGAGTGTCTAAGTAAACAGACTTTACAAAGCATACCTACACCCAGAAGTATGTTTTACAAGTCCTATAAATGAGGACAATGTGGCAACAGCCAATGACAACTTATGTCAATTACTGTCCCACTGCCCTTTGCTGTAACTCCCACTCCTTTTGGTTCTTACATTAACCTTTCACTTACAAATACCACATTTTTTAGAGAACCAAATCAAGCAAATCTTTCTCTAACCCAGAGTTCTTTATAGAAGACCCATGGACTCGAGCTTGTGAACTTGAAATTATAAGCAAAATTACATCTGCAAGTATTTATTTATGCACAAAGTAAGGAAAGAGGCAGGGGAAGGATACAAGTTTTATCCTCAAAGAGGGCCATGACCCAGTAAAGAAACACTGTTCCGACCATACTGAAAAGTTCCAGACCACACATGCAAACAGATTCACATGTCTATAGCTGAAGTTTACTTACCAGAATCTACAGATCCGAACTCTCTCAAAGCCCTCTCATAATATTCCCTTAAGTTCGCCATCTTGCAGGATTCCTAACAAAAATAATCAGACAATCTTACCTCAAAAGCCTAATTTATAATGTCATAAATTCATTTCAACCATACTGTTAAGCAGCTACCATCTATTAGGTATTTTAAGGAGAGGAGGGTTGTGGCTTAAGATGAACACAGCCTGGCTTTCAACTTACCCAGAGAAAAGTCATATGCCTTTACTTCCAGGGTGAAGTAAATGTCAAACAGTGATAAAAAGCACTTTGCTACGGTAGCATGGAAAAGACCTAATTAATTCTTGGAGGAACACGGGGAGCCTCACAGGAAAGTATATTTGAGAGCCCTGAGGCAGGAGTAGGATTGAAATAAATCACATGGGGAAGGTTCCACTCCCTGTGGCTGGGGATTTCTTCCTTTTGAGTAGCTGGGCTCTGGCACATATTAGCTATGGCCACCTTAAAACCTTTTATATCAAGAGAAAGTATATAAATACTAGTGATTATGACCTTCAGTAAATTTTTTAAACCCTATGACCTTAAAAGCATCCTTACCCATAAAACAAGGATGGTATTTCAGAGTAACTACAGGATTAAATTAAAATGCCGATTGATTATGCACCTAGCCAATAATAGCTGGTACTAACTTTACAATCAATAAATGTTAACTCTTTACCTCTACTTCCATTTAAATGTATTCTTTTGTTTCGTTTTCAAGGGAGAGTACCATCGTCAGTTTAAAAATCCTTTTGTATAGTCAAATAACTATTTCCTCATTCAAATTTTTCTTCACTAAGATTATTATTTCATAGAAAAGCCAATTTAACCTCACAGCTTACACATGCATCAAAGCCAGAATCACACCTTGTTAAGGGCTCGTAATGCCCATGGCACTGCAAACTCCCTTCTACCCAGTGTTCCCTTTGGCTTTATAACCCTCACACCCCTGAAAAGGCACTATGACCTCCTTTTACAGATGAGAATGCCAGGGCTTAGAATTATGGGACTTGTCCAAGACACAGAACTATTACGTGACTGACCCAAAGCCTGGCTATTAATTATTATGCTATGCTATCAATTACACTGTAGGACAAGAACAGATCATTTACCCACACCATGATCAAAACTATGAAAATAAGAGTTCACCTGCTCTCATTTTTCAAAATTCAAATATAATGAACAGCAAACAAAATACCAAAATAAAGGAGAAAAAGCAAAACCAAATACTTGGAGGTGTGAGGAAATAAGTATATTGGTATAGCTGCTGATCATCACTACAAATATATTAAACAACTATAAAAAAGGCTAGTATCTCCAGTCCTAGAAATTTATCTCAAGAAAATAATTCAAAAGAAAAACATACTGGGCCGGCCGAGGGGCGCGATGGTTAAGAACTGGCTTGGGACGCCAGAGGGCCCCGGTTTGGATCCCACATGAGGGTCAGTGACACTGCCCTCTACAGCTAAGATGCTGAACAACAGCTCAACCTGGAGCTGGGCTGCTGTGAGGCGACGGCGTAGGCTGCAGCCCCTGTGGCAGTGGGTTGCCATGGGCTACCATATGTAGCCAGTAGCCAGTGTGAGCGGCCAGCAG